GGTGGCCCGCGAGTTGCAGCGGATTTTCCACCCACGGTCTCTCCCGGCGCTGTACGGGAAGCAGACACGTCGGTGCTGGAGGGCGGCGGGGGCCTTGACACTCAAGATCCCAGTCCCTTGAAAGAACCCGCTGCGGGGGAAGGCTTTGTAGCTGGCCTTTTCTGATTCTGGGCTATGAGCCTGGAGTCTGCGACCCTCCTAGGAAAGGTCCTGGGATCACGCATGGCCCTGTGGGAGCTTTCTCAGGGAGGATGGCGTTTGGGAAGCGGATCGTGGAAGTGGAGGGACACATTTAATTTAAACAAAGAGATAAAATAGGCCAAACAGCAGAAACTGGGAGAAGGGACACGCAGATCGTACTAACAGTGGAGGATCTTGGAAGGGAAGCAGCTCCAGGGGAGGAGGGGTAGCTCTGGATGCATGATACAGGGGATTAAAGTACGTGGGCGCAGCAGCAATGAACCTCAGACACCCCACCCCGTCCAGAGATTCGTAAAACGGTTTTTGGATCCCAGGGAACCGGCTGCAGCCTGCTAGACAGTCAAGGGCAGCTTTGGGGAGTAGAATGGTGTGGGTAAACGGTTATGTGTTCCTCTCTGTGAAATCTACTTTTCTTTTTGTGACCTCCCCCAACCCCACCAGTGAGGCTTTGATCTGAATTCACTTGTGGGAAGTTATGCTCTGACCCGCAGCGAACTCAGCACGAACAGAGACGCTAGCTGGTCTTCTCTAAGCGCCAGCCACAGCAGTTCTTATGCTGTTTGACATTTATAGCCAAAACCAGGCTGTGGGTGAGAAGTGAAGAGTTTGAGGTCTTTCCATCACGCCCCTTTCAGTCACTGGGGTCTCATCTGTTAGCCACCGGGATTTCAAACTCGTAACCTTTGAACACTACACCTCCCTGCCTGGACACATAGGATATACATTTCCTCAAAATATGTCTTTTTTAAACACTTCTATGCTGAACGCGATAGTAGATTACAGATGTAGAAACTGATTATTGGCTTATCAGGGGGGAAAGAGAAATCATGGGAGCAGGAATCTCCAGCTTACTGCAGTTCCTCATCGGGTCAGCTTTTGTGTTGTGTATACTTTGCATTGAGAGCGCGCCTGTCCTCAGGCTCAGGCTAAGTAGTGCCCAGCGCCTAGTACAGCCACCTGCCTGTTCCTGACAGGTGTGCACTCAGGAAAGTTTGGGCCCCACGAAGGAGCTGACTTTGCAGGAATAAGTCCCAGCGGCATTGTGCTGAGAGCTTCTGGTCTCCCTGGGAACCCTTCGGTTTTATTACTGTAAGTTGTGGTTACACACTATTAGCTATTTAAGAGACTCCGGTTTTTGGGGGTTTAGGAAATAGCGAAGGCTGAAGCAACAATAGAAATTGGGTGTGTGGCTTAAAGATATATTCAAAATATGCAGAGAACAGAGATCAAGACTGAATATGAACTTCTTTCTTTCTTTCTTTCTTTCTTTTTCTTTCTTTCCTTCTTTTTCTTTCAGATTTTCAATAGATTTTTTTTTCTCTCCCGACCATTACAACTACAGGGCCGCTGCTGGAAAACATCCTATTATAAGCGAATATTATAAAGAAGTGGTTGTACAGACCTAGTTTTGGAATGATTCATTTCTGCCAGCAATTATAATTGCTTCCATTTGTGATACTAACATTAGGTGGAGGACTATGGGCTGACTCAGCTACCTTACCCTTCTCATTTAGGCAAGACTACTTAGCTTAATATTTCTGAGCTACAGGGTATGAAGCAGCAGGTTTTCTCTGCTGTATTATATATAGTTTTCTAGTTGGACCTAACCCCCTCTCCAACAAAATTAATTAATAGATAAGTTCCTAAAGAAAATCAAGGAAAAAAAGATAAAGATAAAGATCATAGTATATTTAGTAAGAACAGTTCAACCAGATTTTGGATCTGAGGTCACAAAGCCATTTGACCAATTGGCATCAAATTACCAAAGGTCTAGACACAAGCTCTTTATCTTTAGAGCTACTCAATAAATATTAGTGGCATAAAATCAATCTTTTAGTTCATTCATTCAACAAACATATTGGGCAAATATTCTATGCTGGGTAATCTGTTAGCTGGAGGACTCAAGGGTGAGCACTCAGCTTGTCCTTGGGGAGTCACACATTCAGGAGGGGCAGCACCAGCAAGACAATACAGCAGGGAAGTCTTACAACAAGGGACAGAGGCAATTACATCAGCTTGACAGGGAGCACAGATGGCTTTCTGGAGAAAGAAGTATGGTTCTAAATAAATGTATCATTTTTAATTGTAAATGTGGCACATGCTCATTCATTGTAGTACATATAAGAAAGCAAGCTATAAATAACAAGGAAATGCTTCCTCAGTGTTTGTCATCCTCCACCTTACCTCTGCTCACAGCTGGCTGCCCTGTTGACTTTTATCCATGTAGTCATCTACAACGCCTTCTTTAAAAAGTAAAATGGGGAGATGGTTCATTTGCACATACAGTTTGTTATTTTTAAAGCACCTTGTCATAATGAACTTTTAAGGTAGTTCCATTCCCAATGGAACTACTGTTTCTTTATTCACACCCTTGTTGACTTCTTCACTGGACTGTAGTTGGTCTTGGTGACCAACAAGAACATGGCAGGAATGAGTATGTCACTCTGAAGACTTCAATCTTGGATTTCTCTTTACCACTTCTGGGGAGGTCCAATGGCCTCTCATAGGAACACCTAACACAGACTGTGAGGAGTTCACATAGTGACTGGAGACCAATTTCAGATTCTCATGGTTGAGTGGTGAGCTGAGCATCTTACAGATTGATCTGTTACCACAGAAACTCTTAGATGATTGTAGTATAATATGACTCTTTTTTACCCTCCCTACTTCTTTCCTCCCTTTCTCCTCCTCTTCCTTCTCTTCTTCCCTACACTGGGAACTGAACCTAAGAGTCTCACACATACAAGGTAAGTGCTTTACCACTGAGCTATATCCCAGCCCTATGGAAAAGTCTTTTTCTGTAGACAGGCATTTAGGTTTTACCAAACATTGATATGATATGTACCCTTACACTTCTTTCTGGACATTCTAAGAACCCTGGAAGTAGAACAGCTAGGACCCAGGGGAACTTAGCATATTGACCTGTTGCCAGATTGCTTACCAGAATCAGTGTGTAACCATACTCACAATTTAACCAGCATTGCATTTTATCTGTATGTCAAATGCTTGTCAATGCAATATGCAGAAAAGGGGAGAGACCCCACTTTCATTAGTGTTTCTGTATCCTCAGTAAAAAGTAGTCAAACATTTTGAAGCATAACAAACATTTATAACTTCCTACTCCTGTGAACTCTCCATTGATATCCTCTATCTACTTTTGTGTTTTCTTATCTAGGAAAGATTTAAAAGTTTCATTATTTTTATTTATGTGTAATTGTGTGTGTTAA